TTCCCCTGCCCCCGCTCCCTCCCTTTAACGGCCGAGTCTCTCCGCGCCTTCCTTCATCTCCCGGGGATAAATAATAAATCCGTCTGCGTAACCGGGGGATTCCTGTCAGCTTTCCTGCTTGTCGACGTGACCCCCGAGGAGTACGCTGATACGTGACTGCTTGGCACTGGGCGAAGGGGGGGCGCTTACGCGGTAAAAAACACGGCAAGCGTTTCTCTTCCAACCCCTCAGCCTGACGAAATAGACACCGATAACTTTCCGCTGCCCTCCCCTCCGGAGTGAACGTGGCAGTGTTCCTAGCGCCGTGGCTCAGGTGCACCGCTCAAGTTAGGTTTTCGGGACTTGGTGCTCAAAAATAGCTTGTCTCCTCAACAGCCTGAGGCGAGCGGGAAGGTGCGAGGGTATGAGAGGTGATAGTAGTGACTCTGAATCTCTTTCTGCTTCTGCTTTGAGATGTGCTGATACAGCCACAAATCGTCCCTCTGCATACTCCTTCGTTAGGGCATTTAGATTGTAATCCCATCAGCCTTTACTCATAAAAGTAATCCTCCGAGCAGCGCTGTTGAAATCTGGGTAGGGTTTGCTTCTTAGGTCATCAATTCTCTTTTTTTTTCGTTGTAATCTTAATAAGCAATTGTGAACAATATCCAGAGATCGTATTCTTTCTTTAGAGCTAAATGAGCTACCTGAGCTCTGTTTCACTGTAACATAGTGTCAAAGCACTGTGGAAGAGTTTTATACGTCATTGTGGTCCCCCCGCCCAATTTTTTTAAATAAAGTTTGCAAGGTGCATGGTACAGAAGTCAAATAACCAATGTGAAATGTGGTTAGCCTTTGACGGGTACTTCTTCATTTGATGAAAACAAGCTTTGAGAAAACTACTGAAGGAAATGAGCTGCGTGTCAATCCCTTGTATGTTACATGGGAGTGGCTTTCAGGATACAAGTAAACTTCCATATACGCTATGAAAATATTTTCATACTAATGATGCTGTAGGAGATTTTGACCAGGAAGAACCTCGCTAACCTCATGACTGTTACTGCTTAATATAGTTTGCATGTTACTGGACAGAGATGACAACAAAAACAAGTATCATAAAATGTACGTTACTCATTTGGACAACTGTACTACCGCAGCACCTGATAATAAATATGACGTAGCATATCTTTCAGAAATACTTATCTCCATGATATAGAAACTCAGTAAAGCGCTCAATTTTTAAATCATCCCTAATCAATTGTGAGAAACCGCCACTTTTATATCAAGATTTATGAAGTGTGTGGATTACTGAATTACAATGTGAGCTCCAACACAAGGCATTTAACTTTATTTCAGCATGATTGTTAAAGCACATGCAGTGCAGTTATAATCAGAATTTAGGAACAAATTATAGTAAATCTCAGCATAGAAATACTTCACTGTCTTAACATTTACTAAGAAATCTCAGCTTTTTAACAGCTTACAGGTTTAGAAGAAAATTTTTGCACTAATAATGATATGCTTTTACATATTATTTTTTGGTATTTCAGTATCTTTCCTTTTTTCATTGCAGATTATGTTTATTTTGAAAATTCTTCCAGCAATCCGTATCTCATTAGGAGAATTGAAGAACTTAACAAGGTACGCAAGTATCTTAAGATTCTTGCTTAACCTTTGACAACAGTCAATGTGCTTTCCAAAAACTGAGAATGATTTCCATCGCATATGATTTCTATTGTGGTAGAATTTTCTGGTGGGGTTTTTTTTTTTTGGGGGGGGGGGGGGTGTTTTGTGTTTTGGTTTTTTTTTTTTTACTTTCTTGAGATTTGCTAATGTATTTTGTGTATGTTTCAGTTACTGAAATCTTGCTATGTGATATCCTGTAATTCTGCTCTGTTACCTAAGGAAACACCAAGTTGATCATTCCTGGTGAACAGGAGTACTCTGCTGTAAAAATTTCTAAACCAATCCTATGAATGCTTGAGAAAATGAATTAATTTAGTTCTCTATATGGTGATGACACTGTGAATCTGTCTAGAATGATAGCCATCATGTAATGTGTCTGCTTTTGGATAGATGTGTAAAGGGCTAGTAGGTATCAGTGAGACTTTGCAGTGATCAAATAACAGAATATGTGGCTTCTGTGCCTGTTTATTACTCTGCTTATTGGCAGCTGTGAATGAAAGACGGGCTCTTGAATAGAAATAGAGACTGTGTTCTCTGTCTTTATCCTGAGTGTATTTTTATAAAGAACGGAGGCTTTTTAGAGTGTCATTTTGGGGAAAGCATGATTATTTTTCTTCATTCTTGTACTACTAAGAATGGTGTGGGATTTTTTTTTTTTTTTAGTGTGGCGTATTTTTAGTATTCCATCAAGCAGTATTAAAACTTACTGTTACGTTATATCAAAAGTTAATGATCAAAATGCCTATTGTGATGTAAATAATGATAAAGATTTTTTTTTCCTGTGGTTAGAAAGTAAATTAAAAAATTGGTGACCTGCAAATGGTTTTCTTATTAATGGAACATAACACTACTTCATAGCAGACATCAACCACGTTACCTGTTAGTGCTATCCAACACAACATCCACTGAGCTTGTGCATGGCAAATCATTTTGGACTTTTATTGGAGAAGAATATTTCTTATTTACAGTAATTGAAGTGATTGCAATCATGTTCTGAATGTAATGTTTATTACCTTTTAACTGCATTGCTATAATTTAGTCTTGCTTGTGGATGGTAGAGCAGAGTCATGTATTGATTTTTTTTTTTTTTAAAGAGAGTTTTGAGGATATAGTCCAGATATCTTAATTGTGAATTATGTGCTTTCATGTGTTAAAAGCATTGAGCAAACATGGAGATGTTATGCAAATATGTAATGAAATGCTTTGGTTATCATTTTACTGGAGATAAGGTGCTTTCTTTTTTTGGTAAGAAATTTAATTAAAACATGATACTTTTCAGTGCCACATCTTGAGTTTTAAATAAGTAACTCAAGGTAACGAACTAATTTGAGTAGATTCTTTACATTATCAGGCTAAAGTGCATGATCCCTGGAATGAGTCATGAAAACAACTGTGAACTAAATAGCTCTTTTATCTTACAAGCTGCAGTGAATTTTCAAATAAACCATGTTATATTAAATATGATTCAGAAAAAAATGCCAGAGTACTTTGAAATAGACATTTCTGTGTAAAGCTGGGTTGCAAAGAATGTTCACAAGCTTCTAATAGTTCTTAAGGATTCTTATGTTAACATAATACTGGCGTTACGTCTCTGAACAGCTGAAAAATATATAAATTCTTAGGACTATGTAATTATAATCAGTACTGTTATCTAAGCTGAAATTGATACTGGCCTGTGTCAGGAAGTTTTTACTTATTTGAGCAATTCTGTTGATTTCAGCCTGACTGATCATGTGAGAACTACTAATATAAGGGAAAATTGCAAGCAGAGGGCATTTAATTTGTATTACTCAGCTGAGGAAGGATACATTCTGACTTGATTTATCTTTCTTTTGTAGACTGCCAATGGAAACGTGGAAGCAAAAGTGGTGTGTTTTTACAGGCGGAGAGATATTTCCAACAGCCTTATAATGCTTGCAGATAAGCATGCTAGTAAGTAGATGGTATAGGGCATTTTTTCTTTCTGTCACAGCCTGTTAGTTTCTTCAGCTACTTAAAATTGCATTTCATTGGCATGAGGAATATATATTTATATTAGGCATTAAGTAATATCTAGTTATATGCTTAGCATTATCTGATACTGGCCCTGCTCCTAGTAGTTGCTTCTGGGACTTAAGTTAAGCTGTATTAAAGTGATTGAAAGTCTCCATCTGAAAAAAAATAATACCTTTTTTCATCTGGAAGATACATCTATATTTCTTTTTTTATATCAAAAGTAAATCTTGTGTGTAAGTCGATTTAAGCTTAAGAGCATTCGTGAGGATTTGATTTGACTTTTTTACTTAGACGTAAATAGATATTGCTTACTGTGAAGAATGAAATGTATCGTTGGAGGCTGAAAATCACCGGAGATTGTAAAATAGCTGTTATGTGCATTTATGATGAATGTAGATACTAATCAGTAAAATAGTGGTAAGCGTCATCTCATTGGTTTTTCCGAAAAGCAACAAGTGGTAATAGGGAAGAAGTCCCATTTCCATCATGAACTTAACTTTTCTTGGTGGCTGCCATTTGGTCTACAACTGAAATACCATATTTTCCCGTAACTTTATAATTAAAAATATAATTCTGAAGACAAAAACAGAACCTAAAAAACTGAGATGTTTGAGAAAATAGTTATTTGCAAAATATTGCGCTCATGTTTGTAAATAACTGAAGTGTTAAAAAAGTCAACATCCGGTAACTTTCTTGCCATATACTGTTAAATAACATTCTGATTATGAATGATATTTGAGTTTTCAAAATTAGTGTGTAAATAAGTGACATAGGGATTATAAGTCTCTGTTCTGTAATTTATCGGGATGAATCTCTTCAAAGACATTACCTAATGCCATATTTTGTGTGCAGATACATGATGGAATAATTAGGTGCTTAAAAAATTGCTTACAGTTTGTTTAATGTCAAATTCTGATAATTTTACTCATACAAGTACCTTTAGTGAAGAGAAACAGCTGGCTTTTGTTTTATTCTTTCATTGGTCATAGAGAAGTGGAGGTGATTTGAGTACATAGTGTGAAATACTAGCTTGTTTTTTTAAAGAAGGAAGATACATCTTGCTTATGTTCTAAGGGGATGATTTGTTTAAATGTTTTTCTAATTTAGTTAGGTACACTTTATAATTATTGGTGACCTATTTTATGGTAGTCTGCCCCCAGAATCATTATAGTCTTTTGAGTTCTTCCACATGAAATGCATAGAAACATAGAACTTGTAGTGAGCTTCACTAAGCTTTCCAGCACATTTTTTTTGTTTTTCTTTTCTAATGGAAGGGGCAGGAAAGGATGAAAAGGATGATAATTTTACTGGAAATACAAATTTTTTCATTTGATTTTTAAAATGTGAATCTTTGTAAATCTTTTTTGGTTGGCTTATTTTTTAGAAAATGGTGCGTTAGTTCTGTGGACATCATTCAGTCTGGAAAAGTGAATAAGGTTTTTATATTTCCTTTGTGAGTTTTAGATTGCCATTTTGTCAGCACTTTGATATAAAGAACTTGTTGACGGTCTGTCGCTCTTCCACTATAGCATACTAGGGGTTTGTTGGTGTCAGTGGAAGTACCATGGAATCTTCCACCACATTTTCTCTATTGAGATTCTCTTGCTGTTTTCTAGTGAGAAAATAGAAATGTAATTTCCAGCTGATTCAACAAGCATCTTTAGAATGCCTCTGTCTCACAGGTTGTAAGTCTTCTAACCCATCGTTCTTATGAATTAGATTTCTCTGTGGATGTTTTCTCTGTACATAATGTTTTCTTTCTGACCAATCTGTGGAATCTGTACAGCTAAGTTATCTTACGAGGTATATATTACAGTTACAGAGGACAGCACATAGTGAAGGATTGCTTGCCTGGATCTTCGTACAGCTCATACAGCAGATGCAGTTAAATGTCAAATCAGTTTAAATATTTTGATTCTGGAATACCACAGTGTTCTGTTTAAAAATGACATATATGAACAAAATATTTGTATATTTATGAATTGAATGTTTTATATAGATAAACATGTTGGTGCTTCAACACTTCTACCTGGTTTGTTATAAAATAAATGCTAAAAGATATGAGTTTCTTACGGAATGGAAATTCTAGTTCAGTCACTGATGACTTCAGTGTTACATGTCTAGAGAAGTCTTTAAAGTATAAGATCTGCTTGATCTTTTCTAATGCATTTTATATTGCTAGCAAATATTTTTTTTTCTTATAGAGAAAACTGTCCTGAGTAATGCACTTTTGAAGATTTTTGGCAGGTGGGGATTGGGTTTTTTTGGGTGACACTTCAATTTCTGAAGGTTGCATTTTGTGATGTAGGTATGGTCCCATTTAATAAGAGAAGAAAATAGCTCCTTAAGAAAATATTTTGGAACTTTAAGAACAAATTTTCCATAACTTGAAAAAGTTTCAAATCAATTTTAAAGAATGTTTGGGGAAAATGGAATGATGTAGATCTGTGACACTATCACTGGTAAAGAGTCAATACACTGTTTTTGAGGCTGGGTTTTTTTGGTTGGTTGTTTTTTTGTTTGTTTTTTAAGATTCCTTAAAAAAAACGTTCAGGATATAAAAAGAAATTTTGGGGGAAAAAATCACATTTTCCTTAGGCCATTCTAAAATACTCAGGTACAGGGGACTTCCCTTTATTTCAAAGCATCTGACACTAATCTGTGAGGAAATTGCATTTCCTCTGTTTTTTCTCTGGTGTTTCTGGTGGAAGTTAATTAAAGAGCATTTTTATTTGTCTATCAGCATCATGTATGATGTCAGTCTAGATCTGGGAATAGTTCTATTAGCTAACTGTAGCCACTGAAATCCAGGGGGTTTGAATGTATTGAGGGCCCTTGAAGACATTCCATTTTTCCCCTCTTTGATTTCTGTTACTATAAAACAGTGTATGGTAAGGCCAACTTGAAAGCCAAAACAAAATACTGGCCAAGATCAGCTTCTTGATCCTATGCAGCCTCCTAAACTGAGGGAGTTCTGCTGGAGTGTAGCACCCACCAGCTCTTAGGTTGTAGCAGGGTCACTGCGAGGGGGTCATTCTCTTCTTCGTGCAGCGAGTAAGGCTTACTTTATGGGGAAAAGAGGTGAATAGAAGACAGCAGGCAGTACAAGAGCTTTTGCAACAGATGGCTGAAGTACATAAGCAAATGAACTTGGAGAGCTGGGACAAAAACACACAGCTCGTTAAAATGGGTGAAGCAAACATAAAGGGGTGGCGTAGAAACGTTTTCTAACCAAGTGGTGTGATTGAAAGAGAAATTGCCAACTGTAGCTGGATCTATAAAACTTAGATGATCCTTTATCTAAAGTGGAGTTGATGTAAATACTTTATAATAGCTGGGGAGGGGGGACTATACTAGCTCTGTACCAGCACTGGATTTGGGTTCCAGTGACGGGCTCAACTTCTGTATTTCCTTCGTAATAGATTTATGCACTATTATTTTCTTGTACTCAAGCCACCCTACTCAGCTTCATGATGCCATTTTTTTACAGTTCTTTACATTTCAAATTCTTTATCTGGTCATGTGCTGTCATGTAATAATATGTCTGAAGTTATTTTCTTATTGCAACTCCTCAAACAGCTTTTGCCTGGGGAAGATATAAAAAGAATTCCTGTTGTCAGAGGCCTTTGTCTTCTGATTTATTAAGAGAGCTTGCTTTGACTTAGGTGTGTTGAGCTCCTGACTAAATGCCCAGAAGTTTTCTGGGCCTATGATAAAGCCCACGCACTGCGTATTTTTTTCTCATTAACAAAATTGATGCTCTTGTGAATGAGATGAGAGTCAATTTAAAAAAAAAAAAAAATCTGAGGCGTATTGGTTTCAATGACTGAGAGGTCAAAGGTAAAGCTAAGATTTTTCTAGATTACAGAAGCTGTAGTCCAAATCTCCATTTTTCAATCTCAATTGCTTTTTGTAGAGATCACTTACTGGCTTTAGTTCTCATAGTTGGACTTTTTTTAGGACTTTTCTTAGCCTTCGGCTCTTGAACAGTCATGTTGCGTGTCACATTGCTTTGCAAAATGGTGTTTCTGCTACAGACTTTTTGTACACGATAGATTTCTAGGAAGAAAGGAAGAGTCCTGCTAGTGATCTAGGGACTCCTGTTGAACAGTTTTGAATCTAGTATTACTGGGTTATTTTTGTCCAATCAGATGATAACACAGCTAAAAACTTGGTGGTTTTTTTTTTTTTGTGTGGTCCTTTTTCATCATAGTAGTTCTTGTATGTCAAATTAAAAAGCTGTTATTCAGAAAGGATATAATGTTCATTTAATCACAGTCCCTTTTCTTAAAAAATCACTTTAATATGAGAGACTTTTCATGTTACTTAGTTCAAATCATGTAATGTCTTAGCATAAAAAGTATCTTTTGACTGGAGATTTTATTTGAAACCTTAAATTTGCTTTTTTTCTCCCATTAGTTCCCTTGAATACCTGTTGTCTCCACAGCCTGTGTTTAGTTAGAAGCACCTTTGGCCAAATCAATGTGAGAGACAAATGCTAATTCTTCCATTTTCTTCACCTTCATAATTCTAAATATTGAAATAATTCATACTTTTTTTTTTTGTCGTGGTGAATGCTTATATTGTTACATCCTCCATACAACTTCCAGGGAATAAGTTAAGACAGTTTATTCGCTCTACTGGTAGTGCTAGTAGAGACTGGCATCTATCCTACAGGAAAGGATGCTCAGAGGCAAAGAGAGTTCTTGGTTACTCTTTCAAGGCAATTGAAGTTTAGAGAGCTGCCTGTTTAACGGGTGGTCCTTTGAATGAGAAGATCGCTGTATTGCATTGGTCTTGTTACGAATAAAACAGAAACAAAACCCTTTGGGTGTTATTTATGGTCACATGAGTGCAAAAAAAAAAAGAAATCTTTAGAGCTCAAGAGTTCAAGTGATTTGTCTCTAACAGTATGTCTAACTGGCTCTTCCATGGAA